AGAGCTGACCTCTCAGAGTTGATTCTTTTTTTTTTTTGTGCATAAGTGTTGTTTTAACATCTTGGTGAGTATAATATTAGAGTTGATTTTATTACGGTTTTCTTTATTTTATCAGTTTAAGCGTTGCAAAACAGATTAGCAAGTTTGTTACATGTAAAACAAGAGAATTTAATATCAAGATTCTCATTACTACCAAAATCTTGATATTTACCAAAATATTCCTTGAATTTTAATTTATTTACTTTCTTTTATTTACAAATTAACCCCTTTATTTTCCTATAAATACCCCCCTAATTCTCAAGTTTTAAGGACATCAAAAAATTCTTACAACTTCTTTCTCTAAAAATTTCTCTTTTAATCTTTGTTTTAGTTAAAATCTCTCTAATTTAGCTTTATTTTTAAGTTATTAGCTTATTAAAAGCATCTTATACTTAAGTTGCTTTTTCTATTTTTTTTATTTAAGTATTGTTATTATCTTTAATTCCTATAAAAAAAACACAAAAAATATTTCAAGTTCAAGTATTGTTGTTATTATTATCTTTGTTAAAAATATTAGTTTAATTGCTCAAGTATCCTAGTCTATATTAAAAAAACTAAAAAAAAAATTCTTTCTTAAGATATAGTTTTATTTTTCAAGATTATTTTCTATAATTAATAATCAAAAAAAAAAAGTTCTTTAGCTTTATTTTGCATTAATTTCTTTTAATATCTCAAAATTCCAAAAAAAAAAAAATCACTTAGTCTCATTATTACACTTTAACTAAGGAGTAATCATCTTTTCATTCTTGATAAGTAAGAAGGGTTATCCAAAAAATTGCTACATCTAGTTCAAGGTATTATCATTATTCCTTTCTTAATTTCCTTGATTATTATTATTATGCTAACTAATGTGTTTGTTTTCATGTGGTGTTACCAATAGGGGTAATGACGATATTAGGTGCTAAATTAGCCCTAAATCTTTCATTACTCCACATTAGAAAGCCAAGCCTATTAGTGAGGTGATAGGTTACAAAGTGGGGGGTTAATTGCATTTTGCATTGTATCTCTTTATAATGCATTTTAAATATGAAAGGTTAATACATTCATGTGACTACCTAATATTTTTTTAAAAGAATGATGTATTTCTTAAAGTGAGCTAAAGACCTAAGGAATTAAGAGTTTAAGCAAAGGTTGTTCAAGAGTAAAGAACTACTTACCACGTCCCAAAGATGGCCTATTAAAGAACCTTTACGACCAGAATCAATTCCAGTTCTTTAGCTCAAGTGATAGAAATTTTCAAGAGCTTTCCAACCAAATCTCACAATAATTTTTTCGATTTTTCTATGATTTTTAATGATTTTTTTAGTTCAAGTTATCAAAAAGATGAAATATGCACGTTTTTCTCTTAATTGCTTTTTTTTAAAAAAAAAAATTTTATTAATTTCTTTTTAAGAACCTAATGGTGGTATGAAACCTATATTACACTATATTATATATATACTTTTAAACTTATGGAATCTTTAAAAAAAATGTTTTAATTTTTTATAAAAAGGTGATTTTAGAAATAAGAGTTTTATCAAGCTTTATTTCTAAGTATTATTTTGAGAAACTTTAATCTTACCTTAAAGATGACTTCAGAAATAAGAGTCTTTAATTCTAAATGTCGTTGTTTTAAAAATATTTAATTTTATTTTAATATGACTTTTGAAATAATTGATGTCCTAAGAACTTTAATTTTCTTTTAAAGATGACTTCAGAAATAAAAGTCTATTATTTTCTTTTATAATTTCGTGAACCTTTTTATTTCAAATCCTTTTGCGACACAAGAATGAATCATAACTTGTTTGTTTGTTTTTAATAAGTAATGATAGTTAATATGAGGTTATGGCCTCATTTTCAAACATGAGGTTAAAATTAATTATTTAGTTGTATAAGGTTGTAACAATTATCCATCTCCATGAAAATAAACTTATATCCCATCATAATTACCCGATGGATTAATTGACAATCGGATATGATTAAATAAGTTATTGTTCCCTTTTATTTGGAAGTAAGGCCTTGACAGGTGTCGTGTTTTATTTGGTCAATTCCATTAAGCCTAAACACATAACCCTTAAAACCTTACAAAAATTAATCTTGAGTGAATTTAAACCCAAAGTGAGATTATATAGTGAACCGTTTCGCTCCAAAAAATACCTTGACCCACTAAAAAGTCGTCATTTGGGACGCATTTGTTGAATTGTCTTATTCAAAAGACATTTTTTTTGGTGATCACTAATCGGGGTGATCTTCCTCAACCAAGGTGGTTCATTTTACTTTTATGAGTGAATCCGTCAAAAATCACTAAAATTCCACTTACAAAAATGACATTTATGTCGACAACCCAAATTGAAAACCTAATGGAATTGGTTATTTAAAATATGACATTTGTCCGAACTACGAAGGTTTTGATCCGTGAGTGAATTCAAAATCTCACTATGATCGGTACGTAGTGCAACTTTGGTGCTCAAACCTACCTTGTATTAATTATTATTTTTTATGTGGTTAATATGTCTTAAAACTTGATTTTTGACAACGCAATAGTAAGAGTCCGTTCCTTAGAATGGAAGAGAAGACGAGTTCCAGACGTTCGATTCTCTTAACCTAAACCCCGAACCCTGTGCCTTATTTCTTTTTATGGAGTTAGCAGTTGATTTTTATTAAGTTTTAATTTCTTAAAATTGACTGTTTTAAAATCCGTCCTTATTCGGATAAAAATAAGGTGGCGACTCTAAATTTTGTTTATAAGTCTTATCAAACACTTAAGTGGAACCTTTTATAGACTAATTTCTGTCCACTAAAAACCAGGTACCACAGAATGCGAAGGAAAGAAATGATCATTGATGAACATGGCACATAGACATAAGGATAAGGAGAACCTATGCTAGACTTATTCGGGGAAAAGGGTTAAAACGAAGAAAAAATCATGAAATCTTGTATGGAAACTTGTCTTGTGCTTCGTCTTCATGGTTGCTTATGAATTACTTGTTACCGCCAAGAGGAACAAGAAGTTTGTTATTGCTGATGCTTTGATTGGAAGAAAAGAAGGAAGGAATGACAAGTAATTCACACAATTATTGCTGATGCTTTGGTCGGTTGGGCTTGATGCAAACAAAGCCCAACTTATTTTAAGTAGTACATGTGAAAATTTTTACCTACACCCACCTTTAGCTATTGTTGTCTACTCTCCCCATGTAGCTACGTCGTTTTGATCATTTTTTTTTCTTTCTTTCTTTCTTTCTTTTTTTTTCTTTTTTTTTTCCTGACTTTCCTTCTTTTCTTTTAATTTTCCTTACTTATTATTCAAGCTACCTATATATTTCAATTTTAACCTAATTTTTGTATTTTTGTCTCTTTTTTGTTCATTTTCTCTCTCTGGATCGTTCCTGTTTCTCTCAATTATGGATGAATTCGTGATTCTAGATGTTGATCGTGATTGTGAACTTCAGCATTCTTCGATTTCCGAGTTTGATCGTCATTGTGAAGTTGTTTTCCGTCTTCTACTGGATTGTTGAATTCATTTGTTGATCAATGTAAGTTGTTTTGATCATTTTTGATTTTTATGAATGTAATTAGTTTGATTATGATGAATGTGAGTTGTTTTGATTAATTTTGTTTCTGTTTTAGTTAATTAATGAATTTGATTTGTTTGATTATGATTAATGCTAGTTTTTTTAATTGATTTTGCTTTTGTTTTAGTTGTTTTATGATTTTGATTTGTTTGATTAAATTGTTTTTGTTTTAGATCAATTTAGTCTCTGTTTTAGCTTGATTTTGAGTACTCTGATTTTGATTTCTATTTTATTTTATTTTTATTTGTTATATAATTATTTGACTGTGTTTTTGATTTAGTTTTATTTGTGATTTTTGATTTTGATTGTTGATTACGGTACTATGTATTATTATTTTGAATAGTTGAATAATTTTAAATGATCATTATCAATTACACTAATATTCAGTAATTTATTTTATTTAAATATTTTGATCATGTTGATTATGCTAAATGATCATTTATATATGTACTGCTTTGTATTGGTACATATTTGTTATTTATTATGTTCATTTTTAAAAACTTATGCAGTGGGTACTAGTGATGAAATTATGTTTGAAGAGGCAACTAAATCAGAGTTACTTTATAAAGATTTTAGTTCTGAAGAAGAAGCTTATGATATTTATAATGAATATGCTTTTAAGCATGGATTTGGGATTAGAATTGATAAAAGTAAAAGTCGAAATGATGGCTCTTTGAAGATGAAAAGATTTGTTTGTTGCAATGAAGGTTGGAAGGATGAGAAGGCAAAGAATAAAAGGACTTATGAGAGACTTAATATAAGAACTGGTTGTTTGGCTTTTATTCAGTTTAAGATTGATCGTTTAGATTTATGGACATGTACAAAGCATTACATGAAACATAATCATCATATAATTCCTCTTGAAAAGAGACATTTGTTAAGGTCTCAAAGGAATGTTTCTAAAGAAAATTTGCAATTCATGTCTACATTGAGGTGTAGTGGAGTTAAAATTTCTGCAGCCTTGAGGGCAATGAAGAAGGATGTTGGTGGCTCTCCTAATTTAGGATTTACAGCACCGGATGCCTATAATGCTTTATCTGCTGAAAAACGAGCTTTACGTGATGGTTGTGACAGTCATCAATTGATCAAATACTTTGCTAAAAGACAACTTGATTAAGCTGAATTTTACTATGACTTTGAACAAGATGAGGATGGGTGTTTAGTTAACTTTTTTTGGCGTGATGGTCGGATGAAGAGAGATTATGAGTATTTTGGAGATTTGCTGGTTTTTGATACCACGTATAGGACAAATAAATATGGAATGATTTGTGCTCCATTTGTTGGTATGAATCATCATGCTAATAACCTCATGTTTGGTATGGTTTTATTTTCAATGAGCGAACCGAGTCTTTTGTGTGGCTTTTTGATACATTCTTGAAATATATGGGAAACAAAAGTCCTATCACAATTATGACAGATCAAGCTCAAGCTATTGCAGCTGGTATTCGGAATGTATTTCCTCCAAGTGTGCATCATCGTCTTTGTGTTTGGCACATTGAGCAAAATTCTAAGAAGCATATTGGGGCTTTGAGAGCTTTGGATGGATTTACAGATTTGTTTGGTTATTTGCTCAAGTATTGTGAAACCCCTGCTGAATTTGAACATTTTTGGAAAAGGTATTGACAATTTTTTTAATTATAATATGTATTTTCAAGTTTGTTTATTTTAGTTATATAATATGATCATTTAGTTTTGTATATATGTACATTTTATAATATAATTTGTTCATTTATACAATATCTAATGATCATATGTTTTATGCAGAATGTTAATGAAATATAAATGTGAAAAAGATGATTGGTTGTGTGATTTGTACAAGATTAAAGAGATGTGGTGTCCAGCCTATTCTAAGAAGCATTGGTCTTGTGGTGTTTTATCATCTCAACGAAGTGAAACTACAAATAAATCTGTTTCGGAAAGGCTTAATAAGACCCAAGGTTTGTGTGACTTCTACCATGTTTTTCTTGATGTTATCTGTGAGTGGAGGAGCAAAGAGAATGGAAATGATTTTAATACATTGAGGGGTAATCGTCATCTTGCTTTTGCTCATATTAGCATTTTAGTTCATGCTAAGTCTTTGTACACCATTCAAGCATATATTATTTTTGAAGAGGAGTTCATTAAGGGTACTGCTTATGAACATTCTGATGTTGGTCTTCATTTTCCTGAATATTCATACCATTTATGGAGATCTGATAAAGATAAGATTAGGCATGAAGTTGTTTTCAACAAGGAAACTCATGCTATATGCTGCACATGCATGTACTTTAGTGAAATGGGATTGTTATGTTCTCATTCTCTTCGTGTATATCATTTACATTGTGTACCTAAGATTCTGGATGAGTATATTATGAAGCGTTGGACCAAGGCTGCAATGTGTACTCATACTACTGTTGATAAACCTTCTTCAAGAACTAATTTGGTGTCCTCTACTGTTTGGAGGTCGCAAACATTAAGGAAGTTTGTGAAGTTGGTAACTAGTTGTCAAAATTCTTTGCCTGCAAGAGCTGAAGTTGACCTCTATTTTGATATTTTAAAAGACAAAGTTGAGAGTGTTAGGGGCATAATTGATTTCAATGAGGCTGTTGAAGGTGTTGAAATTGTTGATCATGAAGTTAATGATCCTCCCAAAAAACGACCTGTTGGTGAGAGAAATGTTCGGCCTAAAAGTACTGTAGAAAAGGAATTTAATAAAGCTAGGGGTAATTGGAGGAAGAGAAAGTCTTTATATACACCTTACATGAGGGCTAAAGGTCAATCAGGAGTTCAGGTACTATTGAACATAAAGGTTTTTATATTTGATCATTTTATTTGATACTAATGTTTATTTATTTTTTTTTTGTTTTAGGAATTTGATGATATTGGACTTCCTGTTTCTTATGCTAATTCTATGTGTGATTATGATGAACTGGTTATATTGAAAAACCCACCTTCTAAGGTAATATTTTTATAACTTTTTTTTTCCTAAATTTGTTCATTTACGTTTTTATGAATGATCATATTTCATGTTTTTATAATTTAGGTTGCTAGGAAGGCATCTTCTGTAGAAAAAGATCCTTATTGTTCTAATGACTTTGATGAAAGTATTTTTAATGGTTTTAATCAGGAATTTATTTTTTAATTCTTTTTATTTTAAAAATTATTGGCATTATGTAAATATAATTTTTGTATTATTGTTTTGTTGGTTAATTGTAATTTTTTTTATAGGTTTCTGTTGAAAGTTCTTTTGGATCCAATTTATCTTTTGATGAAGATATTTCTGCTCTTGCTAAGGTTTATTTACTCTTTTTAAATGTCATTTATAATTTTTTTTATGTATATTTATATTTATTATAATGCTTAATATTTTTTATCCAGGAGAAGGATTTAAATTTTTCAAGTAATGCTCATGCTTCTTCAAGTGTTCCTCCAAGAAATGTTCAAGTTCCTCCAAGAAATGTTTAAGTTTCTGCAAGAAATGTTTAAGTTTCTGCAAGAAATGTTCAAGTTCCTCCAACAAATGTTCAAGGTCCTTCAAAAAATGTTCAAGTACCTCCAAGAAATGTTCAGTTACCTCCAAAACCTGTTCAAGTTTCTGTTCCATCGTCAAGAAGCATTGAAGTTACAGCTTCTTCAAATGATGAACAAGTTCAAGGCACTCAGCGTGGTGGTCAACATGTTTCTTATAAGTATGATAGGTTTTTTAGCATTTTTTGATACTAATGTAGCTAAGAGGTTGGCAAAAAATAACAAGTAAAAACTTGTTTTGTTGAATTATTTTGCTCCCCTTTAATATTTTGTTGCAAGATATGTAATTAAACATATTTGATTTTTGTAATGATCATATACTTTATTGGTAATGAAAATTTTTATTATTTTGTTTTATTAAGTATTATATATTCAAGAATAAGAGCTAATTTATAAAATTTGCAATTTTCATATAAACTGTATCTTAAAAAGATAAAAATATTGTTTGCATTCGAATAACCATAAGAAATATAACATAGAATACTTTGTGAAAAATAAAAAATCTATATGTCTATATTTAAACATTGATCATATACATATTTGTAAATGAACATGTCAAATTAATCCTTTGCAAACTTTCTTGCTTTTCTTCTATTTATCATTACTTCAGTGTTTTCTTCAAATAGCATCAGCTCTGCTACGTATTGTATCCTTAGCTTTCTAATTTGGTTCACCTGTTGAACAAAATAAATTAAAATGATTATTATTTTGTACCTTTTTTTTATAAGTGAACATTCTATATTATATAATTGAACATTTAGTATACTTACATTGTTTGGTTTTAAATCACATATCCAACTTTCATTAGGATCACCAGTGAAGGTTTCCATGTGCTTCATAATGTATACACCACAGTTTGTATGATCCTCGTTGCTACGCCATTTCATCTTCTCCAAAACAATTTTGTACTCTTCAATTCTATCAGCATCTTCATACCCAAGGTATTTCATGTATCCTGCCAATCCCTTAAGCTAATAAAAGCAATAGTAAAAAATACTTAGTATTAGGTATTGTGTAGAATACATGAACAAATAGAAACAGAAACTGATCATTTAGCCAAACAAAAATGAACATAATTACTCACCATCATTTTTGGTTGCTCTTCATACTTTGATTGGACTGAGATATGTTGAGGTAGTTTCCTATTGTCAATAATATGAATTTTCTCTTCCATATGATTGATGCACAATAGAAAAAAATGCTCAGAAGTTGAAACTGGGAAGAAAACCTGAACAAATATTATATTGTTATTGATCATTTTACTATTCATAATTGAACGTTTTTATTATGAACTTTATGGCAATACCTGTTTGTATCCAACAAGGCTATCAATATTATTCATTTTCAACTCATTGTCAATTCTTTCTATGAAGGCATGAATTCTTTTTTCCATGGATGAACCTTCTCTACAAATTCTATTTGTACACATAATGTGCTGTTGAAAAAGAAACAATGATATATAAAATTAGTGAAAATTTTGTATAAAATAATCATATAAAACAACACTTGATATAAAAAAAGAAGTAAAACTAACATGAAGCATTGTTGAGATGTAAATTTTGCTTTTTGGCTTTTTATGATTAAGAACTCTTGCCCAGCCATCTATCACACAATTTGTCACTTGAACATCATCTCCAAGTGTTTTCATTTCTTGTCTATTGGTGAGATTCAAGCCATCATAATATAAAAGTGCACTGAAATATGAACATTTCGTAATATATATATGAACATATTGTTAGATAATATATTCCACTTTAATTAAATTAAAGTAAGTATTTACCTTTCATCTTCACCACTGAGAGCAAAGTCTACTACAATTTGGTTCATTGTTTTCTCATCTTTGAATAGGTCTTTGTACTTGATCATGTACGGAGATCGGAAAGCATGAGGAATTGTTTGCTTTTCACGTTGAGGTCTTGATGTTCAACAAATGTACTATAGTTATATTAAGAACATTAAATGAACATTTAAATGTATATAAATAAATTTGAAATTATACCTTTCAACTTTTTCCTTTCCAGCCTTTTTACTCTTTTCTGCAATTGGGTTTTTCTTTTCATTATTCCAGAACATATTAAACAACACAATTGAACATTTAGTAATCTATAAATGTTCATTATAATTTAACATTGAAAACAAATGAATATTTACTTATCTGAAAATGTTCATTACTATTTAAAACTGTTTACCTGTCCATGAGTTTCCCTGATGAATCTTTTTCCTTGTTCTTACTGAAATATCAAAAGTAGTTAGTAGGTACATAAATGTACAATCATACAACAATAAATGTTCATTCTTAATAACCTCTTGAAAATACCCATCATTTTTAAACATTCTGATATTGGAAAAGTTAAAAACTTTAATTACATAATTTAAATATAACAATTATACATAATACTAATTGTTCTTAGCAAAATAAATTACCAAAACACAAATTGTTCTTAGCAAAATAAACACTACTTCTTCATCCCCAAAATAAAACACTGTGCTTACTTATTACATATTTAGATTGTTTTAAATATACATATCCACTTAATACATCTTGAAATTTTGGTGAGGTTTTTCATATTACCCCTGTCCTCCTTGTTTGTCTTTTTCCAATACATCTTCATTCTTTCCTCCTATGCTCAATTTCAAATCAATATCATCAGGAGGAACTGTAGAATAACCCTTCTTTGGATCACCTAAAAAAAATAACACTTTTAATTATGTGAAAATAAACAATTTCTTGTATTTGTAAATGATCATTATACTTATTTTATATGACCATCTTATACCTGAGGCTGAACTTCCTTCATTAGCCTTTTCAACTGATCTATAGCAGAGGCTACTTTTCTTTGTTCTGTAAAATATGTTTAATTTATTTTTAAAATTCAATTATTGAAAATAAACAATTATAATGAAATATACTTGTAAATGATCATTATATTCATTATAAATGAACATCTTTTACCTGAAGCTGAACTTTCTTCAATAGTCTTTTCAGCTGCTGTTGTAGCAGGGGCTACATTTCTTTTATCTGTAATATGATCAATTTATTTTAGACATTCAAATATTGAAAATGAATACTATGATTATTAAGTATGAACATATTGAACCTATAGCAGATGTTCCTTCATTAGCCTTTCCAGTTGATCCTGAAACTGTTTGCATTTGGGGTTCAAGAATCAAGGCCTGTGTTGAAGAACTAGGACCTGTTCCTGTTTTGAATTAAATTTTGAAGTTAAACAAAGTTGTTAAATTAAAAGTGATGACATGATGCTTAAAAAAGAATATAATTTGTATTTACCAGTCGCTGGAGACGGTGGAGTTAAATGGAAGGCAAATGCTTTTCGTACATCATAATCCTGCTTTTTCCAGTTTCTAGTTTTGTTCAAATCAGCTGCTTCCATGAGATCTTTTTCTATTTGAGCAATTGCATTCAAGAACTCCTCTGATTCATAGAACTCTTCATCTTGGCTTAGGATTGATTGCTCCCTTGTAGCCATTCTTCCTAAAACTTCATCAACTTTTTTTACCAAATGATCTTCTGGAAATATTTCCTTTGCCTTCATCAATTTTCCTGAAAGTCTTGAAAGGTTTGTACTAGTCTCTTTCACTAGGCTAACAAAATCATTCAAGAAAACCTATATTGCAAATCAAATTATAAGAATTATTAAAATAAATTTATTATAAATAAACTGAACATTTATGTCATTATTATTGATCATTTTCCTAACCTCTGGACTTTCTTCCACTTTTACAGCAATTCTAGGTAAGATTTTACCTCTACCAAACCCCAGTTCATACTCTATTTTCAATCTCTCAAGAACCATGTCTCTTTTCCAAACAGATATAATGGGGAATGTTCTTGGAGGCCGTTTGTCCAACCTTTGAACCCTATCAAAGTAAAACAGCTACAAGACAAAATAGAAAATTTACATCAATGAAAATACAAATGAACATAATCATAAAATGAATGATCATTTTACATATTATAAATGAACATTTTATAAAACCATATATTACCATCAGAAATTGCAGAGGGCCTTTGTAGAACCCCTTTCCATTCTGCTTTCTCCAATCAACATGACTCTTTATTAGTGAATCAAAGACATACTGACACCAATTTAAATTTCTTATTCTTTCTTTGTCCATCATTGAAAAAAGAAACTTGAAATGACATTGGTTGTTTGATATGCACTTTATCATGCAGTTCACAGCAACTGCTAAAAAATTGGTTATGAAATGTTCACTTGGTGGTCTGTTGTTCTTGAATTTGTCATGTATGTATCCATTCACAATCTGTGAAGCAAATGAACAAGACAATTACTATTAATGATCATTTGGTGTATTAAAAATGAACATTTAAAGAAAGTAAGTGATTATACCCGACTCACTGATGGAGTCTTTCCTCCCCATGACTTTCTCCATTTCTTCAGAAATTCTGCATATTATTCACTAGCTTTATCAGACTTTGCCTTAACAATTGGAATTTCTCCCGTAGACAATCCATAAACTACCCTCACATCCTCTACCTCAACTTGAATTTTTCATTCTTTGGCAATTCAAAATTCTGACTATTCTCTTCAAAACTATCCAATACCCAGTTACAGAACTTTTGATCAAGTTGTGGTAAATTTATTTCAAGAAGTGATCCTAAACCTATATCAACAATTTCTTGTTTTTCGGTTTTTGTCATCTTATTTACCCATGCTATGAACTTGACATGTCCCCCCCCCCCTTTTGATGATCTTTCTTCCTCAAACTCCTCTTCCTGAATTTCCTCAATCTCATCAGTTTCACCTGCCAAAACTATTTCTGTTTTCATCTTTTTTCTCCCTCTTTCTTCGCTCTTCTGTTGATTATACACTACTAACTTTTTCTCCTCATTCTCAGTTTCTGCCTTAACTTTCTTTGGCCCCTTTTTCATTACCTTTTTCTTCTTTGATTTTACT